CATAATATTTAAATGAAAAAAATAAGTGTATTATATAATATTCATTTTAAAAGTTTACCAATAAAAAGATAATATTTTACATTTAATAACATACTTTATATTAAAATTTCAATTATATTAAGTTGGAAATGGAAATGGCATGTAGGCTTCAAATGCATATGGTCATGAGAAAATGTCTCTTTTATAATATACTAGGCGAGTATCCGTACCTTGCGCGAAATAAAATTATATAGTTAACATTTCAGTAATCATATGTTATTGAAAATTTTTTTGCCATTTATATTAACTAAAAAATAATTATTATTATTACATTTAGACATTTAGTTAATGTAACATTATAATTAATTTAAATAATAGATAACATAACACTTACTAAAATCAAATCATTTAATGATATCTACTCACGCTTTACGTGTGTATAAAATTAGTTATATTTCTTATCTATTTTAATTAACTAATGTAACGATTTATTACCTTTAAAGAAAAATTGAAACAATTTTAATTTCATCATGATGAATATTTAAATTATCAATCATTATTTGTAATGTAATATAATTTAATTTATACCTTTATGTTATTTTAACTATTATTATTATAAATTAGTTTTAAAATAACTTAACTGAATTTCAGTTAAAAAAAGTAGTTTTTGGAGATCTTTTAGTTAATTTTACTTTTAGATTTACGTTTTTTTACATTTATTGTATTTAATATTTTCCTTTTAACTCTTCTCGAAAATACGGATTGATTTTTTTTAAAACTTTATTTGATATTTTACTTTAGATTTGAAATTTTACACTATATTCTTAAGTTTGTTTGATATATTAATTTAGGTTATGCATTTAACAATATATTGAATTTATTGATAATTCAAGAAGTCTTCCACTTATAATAATATTTATAGTTAATAACATATTTAACTTAGATAGTATATTATAAGGAAATATGAAAAGTTGGGAGTTTCAAATTGATGTGGTGCAAGGAAAATTATTCATTTATAAGTATAGTATGACTAGGTGAATGCCCACGCATTGTGCAGAAACACCTATATAGTTGAAAACTTTACAAACATATGTTTTCTTAAATATAACAATAACGTTGTTGTTAAATTTGATATAATAATTCGTATACTAAGTTAATATAATATATTGATTATTTTTTATTTATATGATAATATATACATCTATTAAAACTGTATAATCTCAATCGTTTGAATGATCTCTACCCAAATATTACTTATGTTTGAAGGATTGTTGAAGGAATATATATATATATATATATATATATATATATATATATATATATATATAGAGAGAGAGAGAGAGAGAGAGAGAAAAGAGAGAGAGAGAGAAAGAGAGGGAGAGAGAAAAAGAGTAGTTCATCTGATATTAGTGATATTTGTGAGACAAAGGGACACATTTCTAGCTAAACGTTTCAGATAACAAAAACTTAAAAAAAAAAAGATCAAAAAAATAGTTCATTTACAATTTTTTGAAACATTTTATTTCAAAAAAAAGTAAAAAAAATAAAAATAAAATATTACCATTTTCTGTACTTTTCTTCATATTCTAAGGTTTTGTATATAAAATGTTAGGGATAATGACTTAAAAGGATAACATATTATTGATTTTGTACACATTTAGTCCCTAACTTTTTTTGTCCACATTTTACCCTTAAACTTATCCTTGTGTATAAATTAAGTCATTATTACCGATTGCTTCCATATTTGCTGACATGGCTGCCTATGTGGACACTCATTAAATGAAAACACTCCCATGTGGATCATCTCAGAGTTTCGTTACTTATATTACTATGTCTAGCCCTAACTTCAATAAAAAAACATTCGAACCCATACCCAAAATCGAAGAAGAAGATGTCGACTCCTAGTTCCTCTGGTTCCATCGCAAAGAAAGAGGAGCTTTGTGATTGTCGACTCCCAATTCGAATATGCACATCCAAGACTAAAGACAACCCTAAAAAAAGTTTAAAGTTTTCCCCAGTTCTCTGGTATGTCGATCTTGATTTCCCTTTGTACTTTTGATTTTCCTTCTAACAAATAAAGATTATGAGCTTCTTACAATCTTTATATTTGATTTCAAAGAAACCAGGTAAGAAGTGTAAGTATTGGGAATGGATTGATGAACCTGTGACTGGGAATCTAGATTTAGAACAAGAACTTGAAGCAGTTAAACAGGATGTTGCATGTTTGAAGAAAGAAGTTCACGAGCTGAAGAATAAAGCGCATAGTTATAGGGTTGAAATCAGCTGAATAGAGTTTTGTATGATGTATTGAATGTAGGGGTTGAAATGTTTATATGGAATGTATTTGATGGTTTATATTTAATGTATTGAATGGATTTTGCATGTGGGACACAATTGATTCTAATTTACATTGAATTTGGCTGCAATTTCAACAGCCAAAAGACAAGGACAATGATAATTGAATTTGTTTGCAATTTCAACAACCAAAAGACAAACGACATTGATAGAAACAAATAGGGAATATGATTCTCAGTAGACAATTGACATATGGTTCCCATTATAAACTTCTTAATAAAGTAATGCTAAAATACAAATAAAGATTGAAAAAGACAAAACACAATGACATAGGATACCATATCTGATTCCATTGTTTAAAGTCCATAAAAAGCTGCTAGGTTACAAGCAAGGGTAGTATTGTCAATTACATCAAAAGTTGGCCCAACTAACAAAATAAAGTCACCATACATAGTGTACTATTACATACTTCCAAAGTAAAAGAAAACAAGTAACCCTAATCAGTCTAAAGTAATTGGGTTGTCCTCAGTCACTCCTTTGCCATCCTTTCGAAAAACATGTTTCCTGATTTGTATCTTGTTGATTCTCTCTTAAGGCTTCCTTGATCTAACACCAAGACTCTTAGGCACTCTAAAACTAATATTTACAGGCACTTGGTTAACAGGTACTTGATTCACAAGATCTTGGTTGATAAGTACTTCATTCATAGGAGCTTCATTCACATCCTCTTGATTCACAATAACTTCATTCACATTCTCTTGAATGACAGGCTCTTGATTCACAGGGACATTCTCTTAACATGCTCTTGATTCATAGGGACATGCTCTTGAGTCAAAGAATATTGATTTACATGTGTTGGAGCACTTAGAGCTGGAGTGCTTGGACTTGCTTGTGAAGGACAATTTCTTGCATTACTCTTCTTTCTTGCTATACTTAGACTTGCTTCAGAAGGACCCCTTAGTGGACATGTAGCGTTGTTTTGTCCAGTTTCATTACAAATTGTACATCTGTGTTGAATACCTGCCTTGCTTATAGTATGCCTTGTATTCCCACTGAGTTCATTTTCTGCTTGGTCTCTTTTCCTTTTCACACATGGCCTACCAGGTAACCTCCTCCTAATAGGAGGTAGTATCTGGTGAACATCAGGCATGTGGGGCAACAAGGTACTATCATTCAGGGGATGTATGGTGTACTCATAGGCCCTAAGAAATGCAGATTTAGTAAACCACTCTGCAACATATTCCTCTGGATCAAGATTCAAGGAAGATATGGCATATATGGCATGTACACAAGGAATTTCTGTCAATTGCCAACCTCTGCATCCATATTCTCTCTTCTCCAAGTCAACACCATACCTTTCATTACATTGCACAACTTCAAACTATTTGTATCCACTAACATATGATGCCAGAATCTGTCAATAGAAAAACTTAGTTAACACTTGCATGTACAAAAAGTAAGTAAAAGCGTTTGTAACAACTAACCTTCTCAACTTCTTTAGTTCACCAAGTTTCCTTCTGATAGTTGGATAGATTGCTAAATCCCAACCCAATCCTTTCCCTTTCTGCATGTACAATCTCTCCATAACAAATACCCTTATGTCCTCCAACACAGTGATCAATGGCTTCTTTCTAGCTTCTTCAATAGTAGCATTGAAGCTCTCAGACACACCATTTTCCATTGCATCACATCCCATTCAAACCTTAAAAAAAAGCCCTTGACCAATAATTGGGGTCCCTTTTAATGAGATAGTCATATGCCCCTACATCAAAGCTCTTGATTTCTTCCATTGCAAGTTCAAAATTTTAAATTGTAGTTTCCTTTACAGCCCTCCAAAAAGGTTTAATGTAACACTCACCCTTAAAATTTTTATGGAAGTTAGCAAGGATGTGCCTAGCACACAAACTATGCTCAACTTCTGGACATCTTTCTTTCACAGCCTCCATTATACCCTGCATTGATTTGGAATGTTAGTTTGTGTAAAAGGTAATTTTTGTAAAAGATAATTTGTGTATATATGTACCTTGTGTCCATCTGACATCAATATGATTCCATTGCTATTTCCCCCTCCATCTATGTTTTCCATTAAATTGTCCAAGAACCACTTCCAAGTGCTCTTGTTCTCAACATTTACTACTCCCAGGCTATTGGGTATATTTTATTGTTTCCATCCCTACCTACTACTGAGAGGAGCTCCCCTTTATAGATGCACTTCGGAAAACATCTATCTACCCCAATTACCTTCCTACACCCATCTAACTAACCATCAACAACTCTTTTAAAGCTCACATAAAACCTTTCAAACATCACAGTAGAATTATTTTGGGCTACACATACATTTCAACATGAGATCCTGGCTTGACCCTTTTAATTTCAGCTCCATAATCCTTGGAATAATGATCCTTCAGATCACCCTCAATTTAACACAATGCAAATCTTTTTGCATTCCTTCATTGTCCAACACTAACATTTATGTTGAATAACTTGGATACCATAGCTTTCATCTTCCTCAGACTCATTTTAGGGGACTCCAAAATATCAGTGACAAATTGTTTACCTATCCACTTGTAGGTAACAATTGACCCAAGTTTGAATGCCTTTGAACAACTATGGTCTTCTTTAAGGGACTTTATTTGAAATGTTTGCTCATCTTTCATCCAGGAAGCTGACAGTCTAAAAGGGCATTGTGGTCTTTTTCCTTTACAACACTTTACAAGCAACCTATCCTAGACATTCTTCTTATAATACAAGTCATATCCATGTGCAACTGCACAGTTAATAAGAGATGACTTAAGTTCAGCAGGAAAAGAGAATCTCATACCTAGTTCAGGCTTCATCTTCCTCCATTCCTGAGTAGCATCATGCCTAGGGTAGATAGCTAGAAGTTCATTGCCTTTTTCATCTTCATCTTCAACAACTATTGGACATAACATGTTCAAAAACTTATCATTATAGGTTCTTTTGAAGATCTTTTGCTTGATGTAAAAAATTCATCCTCTTCATGTTCACAGTTCTCATCATCTGCCAAAATAGAGTTGACATCTTCTTCTGAATATACAAGTTCTTCATCGTCTGATTCTTCTTTCTGAATCCACTCAAATAGAGGTTCATTATCATGGTCAATATACACATCTACATGTCTATTAGCATGTGCAACCTCAAGAAACTGAGAGTAGTCACATTTATTTTGTAGTGTTTGGATCCCCTCACTCAATCTCACTTCAGGTATACAATAATACACATGCTTGCACTGAAAATCGATAAGCTTCTCAACATATTTGATGAAATTGGAGAAAACAAACTCGTTTGCATCTTCATTCAGACGCAGTAATAGTTCACAAAAATACACTAATGGATCAGGCACAAAAGTACCGTTATAGTGTACATCGACCTTTGGAAAAGCTTGATTTTCCTCCATTGAATTAGAATGGTGTTTTGAGAGATTGATAGAAGAGAATAGTGAGTAATGAGGCACTGATCAAGAACGGATTAAATACAATAGAACCCTAATGGATCTTCATTCGTAAATGAGGTTTCTTGATAAATGAGGGTGGAAGAGGGTAACTGCCACGTAATTTCCACGTAAACCATCCAAACACAAAATGACCGGCCTAACCGCAAGCAACCGGTAATAATGACTTAATTTATACACAAGAACAAGTTCAAGGGTAAAATGTGGATAAAAAAAATATCATGAACTAAATATGTACAAAACCAATAATATGTTACCCTTGTAAGTCATTATCCCAAAATGTTACTCATAAAAATATATCATAACTAAAATATTAAAAATGATATTTCACATGTGTAACAGGCTAGTAGAATATTACACATGATATATATTGTTATGAGTAATATTATACACAAGTGATGTTAGAATATGTATAATATTACATATGAATGATGATTTTTTTTATTTTAATTCGTTTTTTTAGTTTTTAATTTTTTTTAGTTTTAATCATATTTTTTGACATCTAAAAATTTTAGAACAATCCTCTTGTCCCAAAAAAACTTCATGGTCTCAAAGGTATATATATATATATATATATATATATATATATATATATATATATATATATATATATATATATATAATCTAAAACCATGAAATTTTTTGAGACAAAGAGAATGTGTTTTTTATCATACATTTTCGGAAGTCAAAAGATATGATCAAGGATTTAAATCTTGCTTGGAGAAATTTTGTTGGCGATGGGGCTCCCGATCGATACCTATCTGATAAATTACGTTTTGTAAAAAATTTCATTAAAGAATGGAAACGGATTGATTCTGAAAAAGTCAATCAGGAATTGGATGATATAAGAAAAAGACTTGAATGTTTTTGGATGCCTTGGCTGAAGATAGGTAGGTAAATCAAACTGAAATAAGTGAATAGAGGAAGAGTAAACAACGTCTGATGGAGTCGGAAAAAAAATTAAAAGTCTTGATATTAGACAAAAATCAAAAGTCAAATGGATCTTGGATGGAAATGAAAATTCGAGTTTCTTCCACAAAGCGATCAAAATCAAGAACAAGAGGAATAATATTCAGGGGCTTATAATTAACGGGCAATGGATCACAGATATCGATTCCATTAAACAGGAAACTTTTAGATTTTTTTCTTCTAAATTCAGGGAGTCTCAGTATGACAGGCCTCGGCTTATTAATCCTAATTTTAAGCAGTTAGATGAAGACGATGTAGCTCTTTTAGATGCTCCGTTTGAACTTAATGATGTGAAGGAGGCTATCTGGAACTGTGGTAGTGAGAAAGCTTCGGGCCCTGATGGTTTCACTTTCAAATTCATTAAACATTTATGGCCTATTATGCAGGATAATGCTATGCGTTGTGTCAAGCATTTCGAGAAATATGGTGATTTGGCAAGGGGTAGTAACTCCTCTTTTCTTACATTATTACCGAAGACTAAGGACCCGTTATCTCTAGTTGATTTCCGTCCTATTAGCCTTATCGGTTGTGTGTATAAAATTACTGCTAAAGTGCTCACTGCAAGATTACAGAGGGTTATTGGATCTATGATTGATAATGTTCAATTGGCTTTTATTAAAGGTCGAAGCATCTTGGATGGTCCTATGATCATCAACGAGGTGTGCGCATGGGCAAAAAAAGGAAAACATAAGACTTTTCTTTTCAAAGTCGACTTTGATAAATCTTTCAACTTGATTAGTTGGAGGTACCTTGATTCGGTGATGGTCCATATGGGTTTTAGTAATACTTGGCGATTTTGGATCAAAGGTTGTCTATCTTCATCAAGAGCGTCAGTTCTTATCAATGGTGTTGCCATGAAAGAATTTCCTATTACTAAAGGAGTGCGTCAAGGAGACCCTCTTTCTCCCTTCTTATTCATTATAGCCATGGAGGGGCTTAATGTCGCCTTGAAATCCACATGCCAAAAATCGCTTTTTAAGGGTATAAAAATTCCTAAAGATGGAACCGTGTGACATCCCCATTTTCTCGGCCAGAAAAGACCGATTGTGTTTATGCTTTATAAAAATCAGAGTACCTCTTTTAATAAAAATGTTGCGGATTTATTCCCAGTAAAACATGATAAATTCTTTATCAAAGCATTTCCAAAGAAAAGAATTTTTTATTCATTTTCAAACATTTGGGATGTCATCGTCAATACAAAAACATAAGCATAAACAGAACTTACATTTATTATCGCTAGTGATTTATATCTCCTTAATCTCTCAATGTAATGTGATTTCATATCAACACATGTGATATAAATAAACTGAGTGGGTTAAGTTGGGAAACCTGGTGAGTACATAGGGTTTTCAACCCACAATAAATAAGTTTACTAACTTTATCAAACCAAACAAACTCGATTACCCGTTCCCGTTATCCTCACTTTACGTCCCTAAAACATCTAACACAAGGGACCTAGTCTAAGGGACTTCATCGGTGTGACAACACATGCTTCGGGGGTTCCTCAACAATTCATGTCAAATAAGGCAACCATGTGGAGGATGGAGTACTGTTGGTGAGCACACAGTTCAAATAAACATGCAGTTCAAATAAACACCTACAGGTTGCGAGCCTGCTAGCGTTCCACTAGACTGTCTAGAATAGTCTGTGGTCGTCATCTATACTCCGCTAGATGACTGGATCATCAATAACATCTATAACGAGGCCTCTCATTATTTTATTTTTTCACACAACAACTATTACATCTACCCATGTTTTACCCAACACATTTTGTAGATATAAAATACATATATAGTTTAAATCATTTAAAACATCTATAAAATTGTTCATCCAGCATAGATAGCAAGTATACAGATAATATGCACACACAACACGTAATTTATATAAAATACATCATATCTAGGTGTAAGTTGAAAGTAACTATGCGCTCACTTGAAAATGTGGTGATTTCGAACTCAGACAGTGTTTCGCTTCTTAAAAATAATTTCCTTCGACGAAACCTAGTATTATTACTACTAGAGTTTAGTGTATTATTCGCTAAGACTAATTAATAGTCTAGCTATTATTACTATTATATAAGCGTTAAAAAATACTTATATAACCCATAATAATAGATCAAGTATTTATTATAAGTTCCTAACAACGTTACTATATTAAATAAAAGCTATATTAAAAATAGCGTAGGCGTAGCTCACTTACAGCGGGTTTTATAGAAATCCAGGATTTGCTTGGAGAAGCGTTCCTGAGCCGAAAAGCTCTTCTTCTCAGAGTCGTCGAGCACTCCGCGGCTTCCGCCTCATGCTAGGGAGGTTCCTTAGGTTTTTTGGGGGATTTCGGGGCTAGAGAGAAGTTCTAGAGAGAGTAAAGAGAAGAAAGAATGAGAAAGGTTTGAAGAAAATTAGGGTGGCATAGGTTCTATTTATAGGGTGAAAATGGCTGAACTTGGTGCCACATGTCACCATCTAGTGGCAAGACTTGGGGAGAAAGCAATGACCAAGATTGTGCCACATCACCCATTTTCGCACAGCACACTTCCGACTTCTAAAATCCGTAACTTTCACATACGACCTCCGTTTTTGATGTTCTTTATATCCACGCGTAGGTAAAAATAAGATCTACAACTTTCATTTTGACACTGTCGGGTAATTCTCGACCGATCTTAAATTTAATAGTACGAGGAGATTATACTGTTAAATGTCCGCGTAAAATTCATAACTTCTACATACGGACTCTGTTTTCGTCTGTCTTTTTACCGTTGAGTTCCTATTAATGATATATTCAATTCTCATTTAGGTTGAGTAGGCCAAAAACAGCTCGAACTAAAATTCGAGTTTTGGGTCGTGCACTGCTATGCCAAATCTTATAAAATTCATAATTTCCTCATACGAAGTCAGATTTGGGCGTTCTTTTTTTGTATGTTCTTCGTTTAACATATACTACAAATTTTATTTGGATCGATAAGGCTAAATAGTCCTTTATCAACAATTCACTATTTACGTCTCCCGGTGTCGTGCCGGTTTTGCCGTAAAATTTCGACGGCCATAACTTCTTCGTTATAACTTGGATTTCGGCGTTCTTTATATGTACGGAACCATTGGGACATATTATAACGATTGGTTAAAATTATTTATTCTAAATAATCTTTTGTCAAAAACTAGTTTTTGACTCCTATTATCTCTAAATTGACTAGCCCGGATCTACGGGCGTTACAAACCGAGATCTCCCATCTTTTCTATGCCGACGATGCTATTTTTATGGGAGAATGGACCAATTCAAATTTTGTTAACTTGGCACGGGTTCTTAGAAGCTTTCACGCGGCCTCCAGTCTTAAAGTAAATTATCACAAATCTAAAATTTTTGGGATTGGAGTTACAGACTCAGAGATTGCTAGATGTGATGGCATCATTGGATGTGAGGCTGCTTCCTTACCATTCAACTATCTCGGTGTCCCGGTAGGGGCCAACATGGCATTAAAAAGAAAGTGGATGCCGGTTATCGATCGGGTGCACAAAAGGCTTGCTTCATGGAAAGCTAATTCTCTTTCTTTTGGCGGTCGGTTGACTTTGACTAAGGAAGTTCTTGGCAGTCTTCCCTTGTATTTTTTTTATCCATCTTTAAAGCCCCGAAATCGGTTGTTGAGAATTTGGAGAAAATTAGAAGAAACTTTTTATGGGGCGGCCTTGGCGAGAAGAATAAAATTTGTTGGGTGGCCTGGGATGTGATTCTTGGCCCTAAGAATTTGGGAGGGCTTGGCATCGGCTCTTTATTTGTTATGAATCGTGCTCTCTTGGTTAAATGGTTATGGCGATATAAAACTCAACCCAACGACTTATGGAGACGGGTGGTACACGATATTCACAATTTAGGCAGGAAGCCATTTGAAAAATGGGGTAAAAAATCGCTACCAGGGGCTTGGATGAATGTGTGAATGCCGGGATGGAATTGGAAGAGCTTGGAATTACGTTTTCATCTTTATT